TTCGGGTTTAACAGACGATGTCTTGTACGGATCCTCTCATGTGTAGAAAAAGGCCTTTATTTAACCAGGTAAGCCAGTTGAGAACAAGTTCTCATTTACAACTGCGACCTGGCCAAGATAAAGCAAAGCAGTGCGATTAAAACAACAACAACACAGAGTTACATATGGGGTAAACAAAACATACAGTCAATAACACAGTAGAAAATCTATATACAGTGTGTGCAAATGTAGTAAGTTATGGAGGTAAGGCAATAAATAGGCCATAGTGCAAAATAGTTACAATTTAGTATTAACACTGGAGTGATAGATGTGCAGAAGATGATGTGCAAATAGAGATACTGGGGTGCAAATGAGCAAAATAAATAACAATGTAAATAACAATATGGGGATGAGGTAGTTGGGTGGGCTAATTACAGATGGGCTGTATACAGGTGCAGTGATCGGTAAGCTGCTCTGACAACTGATGCTTAAAGTTGGTGAGGGAGATAAGTGTCTCCAGCTTCAGAGATTTTTGCAGTTCGTTCCAGTCATTTGCAGCAGAGAACTGGAAGGAATGGCGGCCAAACGAGGTGTTGGCTTTGGGGATGAACAGTGAGATATACCTGCTGGAACGCATACTACGGGTGGGTGTTGCTATGGTGACCAATGAGCTAAGATAAGGCGGGGATTTGCCTAGAAGTGATTTATAGATGACCTGGAGCCAGTGGGTTTGGTGACGAATATGTAGTGAGGTCCAGCCAATGAGAGCGTACAGGTCACCATGGTGGGTAGTATATGGGGCTTTGGTGACAAAACGGATGGCACTGTGATAGACTACATCCAATTTGCTGAGTAGAGTGTTGGAAGCTATTTTGTAAATGACATCGCCGAAGTCAAGGATCGGTAGGATAGTCAGTTTTACGAGGGCATGTTTAGCAGCATGAGTGAAGGAGGCTTTGTTGCGAAATAGGAAGCCGATTCTAGATTTAACTTTGGAGAGTTTACGGTCTAACCAGACACCTACGTATTTGTAGTTGTCCACATATTCTAAGTCAGACCCGCCGAGAGTAGTGATTCTAGTCGGGTGGGCGGGTGCAAGCAGCATTCGATTGAAGAGCATGCATTTAGTTTTACTAGCGTTTAAGAGCAGTTGGAGGCCACGGAAGGAGTGTTGTATGGCATTGAAGCTCGTTTGGAGGTTTGTTAACACAGTGTCCAATGAAGGGCCAGATGTATACAAAATGGTGTCATCTGCGTAGAGGTGGATCTGAGAGTCACCAGCAGCAAGAGCGACATCATTGATATACACAGAGAATAGAGTCGGCCCGAGAATTGAACCCTGTGGCACCCCCATAGAGACTGCCAGAGGTCCAGACAACAGGCCCTCCGATTTGACACATTGAACTCTATCTGAGAAGTAGTTGGTGAACCAGGTGAGGCAGTCATTTGAGAAACCAAGGCTATTTAGTCTGCCAATAAGAATGCAGTGATTGACAAGTCGAGTCAAAAGCCTTGGCCAGGTCGATGAAGACGGCTGCATAGTACTGTCTTTTATCGATCGTGGTCATTATATCGTTTAGGACTTTGAGCGTGGCTAAGGTGCACCCATGACCAGCTCGGAAACCAGATTGCATAGCGGAGAAGGTACGGTGGGATATCGAAATGGTCAGTGATCTGTTTGTTAACTTGGCTTTCAAAAACTTTCGAAAGGCAGGGCAGGATGGATATAGGTCTGTAACAGTTTGGATCTAGAGTGTCACCCCGTTTGAAGAGGGGGATGACCGCGGCAGCTTTCCAATCTCTGGGGATCTCAGACGATACGAAAGAGAGGTTGAACAGGCTAATAGGAATGCAACAATTTTGGCGGCTAATTTTAGAAAGAAAGGGTCCAGATTGTCTAGCCCAGCTGATTTGTAGGGGTCCAGATTTTGCAGCTCTTTCAGAACATCAGCTATATCTATATCTGTTCTTAGTTCTGAATTTTTTGAATGGGGCATGCTTATTTAAGATGGAGAGGAAAGCACTTTTGAAGAACATCCAGGCATCCTCTACTGATGGAATGAGGTCAATATCCATCCAGGATATCTGGGCTAGGTCAATTAGAAAGGCCTGCTCGCTGAAGTGTTTTAGGGAGCGTTTGACAGTGATGAGGGGTGGTCGTTTGACCGCGGACCCATTACGGACGCAGGCAATGAGGCAGTGAATGCTGAGATCCTGGTTGAAGACAGTGGAGGTGTATTTAGAGGGTAAATTAGTCAGGATGATATCTATGAGGGTGCCCATGTTTACGGATTTAGGGTTGTACCTGGTAGGTTCCTTGATAATTTGTGTGAGATTGAGGGCATCTAGTTTAGATTGTACGACGGCCGGGGTGTTAAGCATATCCCAGTTTAGGTCACCAAGCAGTGCGAACTCTGAGGATAGATGGGGGGCAAACAATTCACATATGGTGTCCAGGGCACAATTGGGGGCTGAGGGGGGTCTGTAGCAAGCGGCAACAGTGAAATACTTATTTCTGGAAAGGTGGATTTTTAGAAGTAGAAGCTCAAACTGTTTGGGCACAGACCTGGATAGTATGATAGAGCTCTGCAGGCTATCTCTACAGTAGATTGCAACTCTGCCCCCTTTGGTAGTTCTATCTAGATGGAAAATGTTGTAGTTCGGGATGGACATTTCTGAATTTTTGGTGGCCTTCCAAAGCCAGGATTCAGACACTGCTAGAACATCAGGGTTGGCAGAGTGTGCTAACGCAGTGAATAACTAAAACTTGGGGAGGAGGCTTCTGATGTTAACATGCAAGAAACCAAGGATTTTACGGTTACAGAAGTCAACAAATGATAGCGCCTGGGGAGTAGGATTGATACTGGGGGCTACAGGGCCTGGGTTAACCTCTACATCACCAGAGGAACAGAGGAGGACTAGAATAAGGATACGGCTAAAGGCTTTAAGAACTGGTCTTCTAGTGCGTTGGGTACAGAGAATAAAAGGGGCAGAGTTCCGGACGTTGTAAAATTGAGTCAGGGCATTATGTACAGACAAGGATATGGAAGGATATGAGTACAGTGGAGGTACACATAAGCATTGGGTAACGATGAAAGAGATAGCATCACTGGAGGTACCGATTGAGCCAGTCTCTGCGTGTATGGTGGGTGGGACAAAGGAGCTATCTGAGGCAGGTTGAGCGGGACTGGGGGCTCTACAGTGAAATAGTATAATAAGAACTAACCCAAACAGCAATAGGCTAGGCATATTGACATGGGAGAGAGGCATAACACAATCACAGGTGTTATTCGAGAGGGTTAAGACAACAGCTGGTAATGGCGACAAAAGTTTGGGCTGAGGCTAAACAGATAAACAGGATGGGGTACCGTGTAAAGGAACAGTCCAGCAGGCATTAGCTGTGTAGCTGAGTGATCATAAGGTCCAGTGAACAGCAATAGGTAAGTCCGGGAGCAGTTCGTAGGCTGCTACAGCACAGGCGAGCAGGAGGCATGGCTGTTGCGCGTGCTAGCGGGCCGGGGCTAGCAGATGGATCTTTGTGGTCGTCGCAACGGGAAGCCTGTTGAAACCACATCAGACGATTACGTCGGCAGACCAGTCGTGATGGATCGGCGGGGCTCCCTGTCGACACTAGGAGGTCCCATCCGGTTGACAGAGAGGTAGATAGCCGGGAGATGGGCCTGGCTCGAGGCTAGCTCAAGGCTAACTGGTGCGTCGGGACAGTGGTGATTAGCCAACAACAGCCATTCGGTTGCAGCTAGCTAGTCGCGATGATCCGGTGTTAAGGTCCAGTGAGTCAGTGATTCCGGCAGAAAATCCGATATGCTCTGGGTCAATAGCATGCTGTGCAGACTGGCCGATAATTGTCCAGGCTAGAGCTGGCTGGTAGGTAGTGCAGGCCACGGACAGTGGTGAAGACCGCTAACGGTGGCTAATAGCAAGTAGCTAGTTAGCTGGCTAGCTGGCTAGTTTCAGCCATAGGTTCTTGATAAAAGGTATAAGGAAATAATAGAATCCGTTCCACATTGGGTGAGGCGGGTTGCAGGAAAGTATATTTAGTTAAAGGATGGAAAGTGAGAGAGAAATATATACGGAAAAAAAAAAAAAAAAACTGGCTATTTACACGAGGACACAACAGAATACAGGACCGCACTGCTACACCATCTTGGACTTGGGCCTTCTCAAGCCCCATGTTATGGAAAAGGTGCACATTTTATAAAGGCGGAAAGAGGGGATTGAATTGCAGCCAGTACAACAAAGGGTCAATCTCTAGCATAAACAGAAACACACAGGGAGCTATTCAAAATGGCATCACTGTTTGATGCTGTAGAGCAGCGCTTCCCAAACTCTGTCATCAAGACCCCAAGGGGTGCACGTTTTGGTTTTTGCCCCTAACACTACACAGCTGATTCAAAATAAAGCTTGATAATTAGTTGGTTATTTGAATCAGCTGTGTAGTGCTAGGGCAGAAACCAAAACGTGTACCCCTTGGGGTCCCCAGGACCGAGATTGGGAAAACCTGCTGTAGAGCATCAGTCGACTTTAGGGAGATTTATTAAGCCTGTGATCTCACCAAATGGACAATACAAATTCTAGCCTATTCTATATCTTCCATTCTAACACCTGATTCCCAGACCAAACCTGGTCATCAACATAGCGCAATAATCCGGAATTGACAGTTCTTTTGTAAATGAAAGGACCTTTGAATGGCAGGTTGGGCATTAAGAGCGTTTGATCTAGTTTCATTCCCTCTTTACTTTGAATGATGATGGCGATCTAGAGGTTTATGCCAATAAAAACCTTTTGCAAAGGGTATATGAATAAAAGCAAAGCAGGTTGTCCATAATGGCAGTCCACACCCTGCATTAAACCACACCTGATTGTTTACAGGTTCTTTCATCGGAAAGCGAGGAGGCCTAATGTTGTTGCTAGTCTGGTTTTGAGCCCGTAGGCTAATACGAGAGAACCTTTATGGTAATGCGTCTATTTGACAGGTCGGAAATGCCTGTAATCAATCACGATAGGTGCATACCCGTCTACCCGCAGATACGGTTTCCTGCATGACCCGTTTAAAAGCGGCCCATCCTCTCCGCTGCTGTCTCGCTCCACCTCCGTCCACTAAAGAGCGATGAGGAACCCACAACCGTCCGTCCTTCTCTCATTTCTCGGTGAGTTGTTGGCTTCAGTTGTTTTTTTTTTAAAAGTAAAATTTAGTTCCGAGATAAGCAGCTGTGTAAAAGTACAATGTCATTTGGAGAGGCGCATTACGCGCGTCAGAAAACAAATCGCTTCAGCCTATGGTATTACATGTCCACTGGCTACGCACTTTTTTAAATGACTTGTTTTTAGATAAGGATAGATATAGAGAGAGATTGACAGCGTCAATTGACCGTTAATTTTAAGGTGTGAAAAGTTAAATACCCTAATCCTATATGAATGCACTGATGATGTATGCTAATATATGTATTTGCGACATGGCTGTATAGACGCCATAGACGCCATAATGGACTACATCACGTCTCAGGGCATGGTGTACTCATGGTGTACTCATGGTGTACTCATGCCCAGGGCTTCTCTGAGACATTCCTATCTCAAATAGAACTATGGGAATGGACTGGCTACATAAATGATACATACAAGAAGGCTTGTTGTGTATCCACACTGTTACATTAAACATACTCGTTCCATTTAACCCAATGGGACTTCCAATGACTATTTCTACTTGACGTTATATCTAAGCTCATAACAACCTACCCACTGGGCACAGACGTCAAATCAACATTGGTTCAACGTAATTTCATTTAAATGACGTGGAAACAACGTTGATTCAACCGTTGTGTGACAAGTGGGTATTATCATAAGGCCTCTGTTTTTATTGGCCTCATCAACTCAGCTGTTTGGAAAATATGTTGGCTGCCATGGCCACAGAAACAGGGAGCGGGAGAGCAGGGTAGTATTTACCTGTTGATTGGTTATTCTTGGTACTGTATATAGGTACCTGGTTACAATTCTTTCTCACTGTCTATCTGGCTGTCTGACGAAGCCATATTCTAGTCTTGTTGCAGGTTGACGTTTATTGGTGGTCCTCTGTAGCTCAATTGGTAGAGCATGGTGCTTGTAACGCCAGGGTAGTGGGTTCGATCCCCGGGACCACCCATACGTAAAAAATCTATGCACACATGACTGTTAGTCACTTTGGATAAAAGCGTCTGCTAAATGGCATGTTATTATTTATTGTCATGAGTCTTGCCCTGGAGGCAGAACTGAGCGTTTTTCTTCTAGATGGGCCAGCTGCAAAGTCAGAATCTAGGGTGTGCACCCACTCCGCCCAGAGTGGGTGAAAACGTGCTTTGCTGTTGAAATTTAACTTCCTTATGTTATAAAATACATTTTACAGAGACAAATATGATTCTTCGTGTTCTGAATCGTTCAGTGGGATCTTTCGCTAACATATCATTGACATTATATCCAAAACGTTGGATTTCGTAATACACTGAACAAAAATATAAACGCAACATGCAACAATTTCTAAGATTTTACTGAGTTACAATTCATATAAGGAAATCAGTCAATTGAAATAAATTAATTAGGCCCTAATCTATAGATTTCCACGACTGGGAATACAGATATGCACCTGTTGGTCACAGATACCTTTTTTTTTTTAAAAGGTAGGTGCGTGGATCAGAAAACCAGTCAGTATCTGGTGTGACCACCATTTGCCACATGCTGGGCGACACAATCCCCTTTGCATAGAGTTGATCAGGCTGTTGATTGTGGCCTGTGGGAGGTTGTCCCACTCCTCTTCAATGGCTGTGCGAAGTTGCTGGATATTGGCGCGAACTGGAAAACACAACACGTCAATTACATGTTATGTTTATATTTTTGTTCAGTATAAGTTGATGATCCCTGGCATATATGAAAATACTACATGTCATGTCTCAAAATCGATATCTATTTTACCTCTATTGTTTTATATCCTCCGGATTCGAGAAGAAATATGATAAGTTCAAAGGTAAACCTGTCAGTTGGCCTTAATTTGACGGTTAGCCTGTCAGTTGGCCTTAATTTGACGGGGAGCCTGTCAGTTGGCCTTAATTCGACGGGGAGCCTGTCAGTTGACCTTAATTCGACGGTTAGCCTGTCAGTTGGCCTTAATTCGACGGTTAGCCTGTCAGTTGGCCTTAATTCGACGGTTAGCCTGTCAGTTGACCTTAATTAGACGGGGAGCCTGTCAGTTGGCCTTAATTTGACGGTTAGCCTGTCAGTTGGCCTTAATTCGACGGGGAGCCTGTCAGTTGGCCTTAATTCGACGGGAGCCTTCATTGGCCTTAATTCGACGGGGAACCTGTCAGTTGACTAATTGACGGTAGCCTGTCAGTTGGCCTTAATCGAGGTAGCCTGTCAGTTGGCCTTAATTTCGACGTTAGCCTGTCGATTGGACCTTATCGACGGGACCTGTCGTTGGCTTACTCACGGGATCCTGTCGTTGTCTTTTCGACGGGAGGCCTGTCGTGGCCTTAAATCGACGGACCTGTCGTTGGCCTACATTCGCGGAGCCTGTCAGTGGCCTTAATCGCGGGAGCCTGTCATTGGCTATAGAGGGTTAGCCTGTAGTTGGCCTATTCGACGGGGAGCTGTCGTGCCTTATTCACGTCGCCTGTCATTGGCCTTATGCGAGTTAGCTGTATTTGGCGCTTAATTCTCGGGGAGCTGTCCAGTTGCTTAATTCATCGTGGGAGCTTTCAGTTTGCCTTAATTCGACGGACTGTCAAGTTGACCTTATTCGCGGGAGCTGTCGTGCCTTAATCGACGGGAGCCTGTCAGTTGCCTTAATTCGACGGGACTGTCATGCCTTAATTCGACGGACCTGTCATTGGCTTATTCGAGGGGATCCTTCAGTTGCCTATTCGAAGGTTACCTGTCAGTTGCCTAATTCGACGGAGCCTGTCAGTTGGCCTTAAGTCGACGGTCGAGCCTGTCAGTTGGCCTTAATTCGACGGTAGCCTGTCAGTTGGCCTTAATTCATCGGGGAGCCTGTCAGTTGGCCTTAATTCATCGGGGAGCCTGTCAGTTGGCCTTAATTCGACGGGGAGCCTGTCAGTTGGCCTTAATTCGACGGGGAGCCTGTCAGTTGGCCTTAATTCGACGGGAGCCTGTCAGTTGGCCTTAATTCGACGGGGAGCCTGTCAGTTGACCTTAATTCGACGGGTAGCCTGTCAGTTGGCCTTAATTCGACGGGTAGCCTGTCAGTTGGCCTTAATTCGACGGGGAGCCTGTCAGTTGGCCTTAATTCGACGGTGAGCCTGTCAGTTGGCCTTAATTCGACGGTTAGCCTGTCAGTTGGCCTTAATTCGACGGGGAGCCTGTCAGTTGGCCTTAATTCGACGGTCAGCCTGTCAGTTGGCCTTAATTCGACGGTTAGCCTGTCAATTGGCCTTAATTCGACGGTTAGGTTTGGTCCTTTATTTTTAATTTTTTAGAGGAGTATGTACACAATTAACATGTTATCTTACCCATTTGTCAAACGATGCGTTTTCGCATACTTTTTATTCTTAATTTAAGGTTAAGGCATTAGGGTTAGCAGTGTGGTTAAGGTTTGGGTTAAGGTTGTTAGATTTAAAATCAGATTGTATGACTTTGTGGCAGTGCCAGCTAGTGACCACTCTGCAGAGCTGCCTTCAGTACATGAGTCATCCCAATAAATGCCAACCTGCATTTTTTTTTTTTGCCGCCTTGGGGATTGAGATGTAAACGTGCCACCGATCATATCACCTCACAACATTAAGCCATGTCTCAGGAATGTGGCATTGACGAGCAGAGCCACGTCGGGGCACCAGTCTGTTTAGAGATCTTGCCATGCTAAACATGACAATTTCATCAGGAGTTGACAAGAGGGCAGAAATAGACTGGCAAATAGATTTGGCACCACAAGAACCCCAATCTGCTTGGCGTGGCGCTTGGCATGCTGAGCGCTGCCACTCTACGTGCCAGGCATGTTCACAACATCAACTGCTCTCCTCCATCATGTGAATGGAATGACCCAGGCAGGCACAGTAACGGTCATTGCCATCCCATTTTGTAAATAATAATTTGTTCCTAATTGGCCTGCCTGGTAAAATAAAGCTTAAAATAAAACATTAATTCAACTCCAAGCCGTTAAGAGTTTCAGGATGACATGCATCAAATAGAGATCAGACAACTGCCATGGCCCGTGGGGTGATTTTGCAGGATTGAGGGTACAACTGCTTTGCTAAAAAAGGTATTTTGTTCTTTCTCTCTCTCTCACAGGTCTGTTGCTGGTCAGGTCTGATGTACATACTACAGGTGTCCTCTCATCCACACAGCCAGCCCCAACCAGCCCCCCCTGTCAGGCAGCAACAACAACAGGTAGGCCCTCTTCCTGGACTGGTACTGCTGACTGACTGACATACTTTATATATTTACAGTATATATATATATATATATATTTTGTAACTATCTAAATGTATGACTGACTGGCTTATTGGTTGATTGGTGTTATCCAGTCCAGGAGCAGTCCCGTCCTCGCATGGAGAAGGTGATGATCCAGAAGTGTGACTCCAGTCTGGAGAGCTACTGTCTCAATGGAGAATGTCTCCTACTGCTGGACATCAACGAACACCACTGCAAGTAAGATTAAAAAAAAATATATAGGATTTATTGTCACGTACACCGGATACACTACACCTTTATGTGTGTGTGTGTTTTGTGATACAGCTCTGTAATGAGTGTGGGGGTGCTCAGCAGTGTGGTGGAGAGTGTGTGTGTGTGTGTGACTCATGTCCCTCTCTCTCTCCAGGTGTGAGATGGGTTACTACGGGCCCAGGTGTGCTCACCTGGAGATGGTGTTTCAGCCAATGAGAGAAGAACATGTTATCCTGACGGCGGTATGTGGGGGCCTTCTGATTATAGGCATCGCTGGAGCGCTCTACTTCTTCTGCCGATGGTGAGAGAGAGAGAGGGAACGTGTGTGTCAGAGGAGGCTGGTGGGAGGAGCTAGAGGAGGACGGGCTCTTTGTAATGGCTGAAGTGGAACGGTATCAAACATATGGAAGCCATGTTTAACTCTGTTCCAATCATTCCATTCCAGCCATTACAATGAGCCCATCCTCCTATAGCTCCTCCCACCAGCCTCCTCTGGTGTGTGTGTGTGTGTGTGTTTGTATCTGTGTGTCTAATTGCTGCTCCTACTGTTCCAGGTACAAGAGGAATAGATGTCCACCGCAACAGAAACCGCAGATGTACCAGGAGGTGCAGATGGCATGATGTGTGTGTGTGTGTGACAGCAGCCATTATTATGTTACATAACATGCTGTATCTCTGTTACCAAGGTTACGTTTATTAGGGCACGCAACAGAAAACATTTAAAAAAACATTTTGTAACGGAAAATGTTTCACTCAGTTTTCTTCCGTGTTGTGCCTCCACCGAACACAACTCAGCATTTCTACAGTGTGCGTCTCAAACTGAAAACGTACTTTTGTCAGGAGTGAGTTTTGCATGGCTGTAAAGATGATTTCTGTCTCCCTTTGTGTTAGAATGGCTTACTATCCTGTTCAGTTTGGCATCATGTCTGATCCAGTTTTTGGCCAGATTGAACTTAAATTTTTATATGCAGTATTCTAAATTATACTTTTTTTTTTTTTTTTCTTATTTATGAAATTTCTAATAAAACGTGTCCTCACTTTCTAGTTGTGTATCTGTGTCTTCAGTACAGGCCAATAGTTGGGCTATCTGAATCTGTCCTTAGCTCTGAACGTACACAAACACTCCTACAACCACGGCAACCAATTATTTTGCTGTGTGACTTGAGTTTTTATTTTGGGAGCTGCAGAATGGTCGGAAAGCGGATGCTGAGTTTGAATATGATTGGTGAGAATGAAGGTGATGAGAATACTGGATGGGACTGCAGCCGCTAAAGAGAGCTAAAATCACAGTTAAAACAGCGGCTAGCAAGCCTACTGCTCGTGGCGCAAATACTTCACAGTTTGTATTATTAGGAGTGCTGTTTGATGTACCTGGGAGATCTGTTTGATGTTGCCAAGATGGTGAAGAAAGTGTTGGGTACAGTGGAATCTGTGAGGGTGACCAGAAGTGGAATTTTGTAGATTATTATTTGTTGGCAGAACAAAAATGAGCGCGCCTTGTGCCTCACCAGAATTAAGGAGAAAGAGGTGACTGCCTTCGATTTTTGTAGCAGGGCACCAATGAAAGGCGTGATTTCTGGAGTGTCTGTGGAAGTTGGGGCTGAGGAGATCAAGATGAACATTCCTGGAGTAGTTTTGGCTTGACGATTGACACGTTCAATGGAAAGAAAATGGGTTACTGTTTTTTTTAGGCTTAACTTGGGTTGAAATTCTCCCCTATCTGAAAAGTTCAGCTATGTTATGAAATACTTTGTAAGACACATTATGAAATCCTTAAAGTCTGATGTGATGAAATCATAACTCAACACTTCAGAGTAAGTAAATATTTTCCACATTCTACTACTACAGGAATGTACACAAGCAAAATGGCAGACACAAAACCTTGAACGTTTTTAATGTTGCTTGGGTGAAATATTTATGAGAATGAGGGTCAGATATGTTCTATATCTGGTCACCACTACACACAGTCACTACTTCCCTCTAGTTAATGACTGACCACAATTACTGTCAGGCCATTCTCTTATGGACTACGCCAGAAGGTGCTGATTCTGCAGGTACCAGATTACGTTTGGACCTGGCGAAATGTGGAAGCTATGCCGTCCTCTAGGGGGCAGCAGTGAGTGCCTGTTATCTTCCAGTGGGCTTGCTATGGCGTTGTGGATGGCGTAGCTATGGCGTTGTGGATGGCGTTGCTATGGCGTTGTGGATGGCGTTGCTATGGCGTTGTGGATGGCGTAGCTATGGCGTTGCTATGGCGTTGTGGATGGCGTTGCTATGGCGTTGTGGATGGCGTAGCTATGGCGTTGTGGATGGCGTAGCTATGGCGTTGTGGATGGCGTAGCTATGGCGTTGTGGATGGCGTTGCTATGGCATTGTGGATGGCGTAGCTATGGCGTTGTGGATGGCGTAGCTATGGCGTTGTGGATGGCGTAGCTATGGCGTTGTGGATGGCGTAGCTATGGCGTTGTGGATGGCGTAGCAGTGCGGCCGTGTGTTGTGTCCTCGTGTAAATAGCCAGTTTTTTGTTGTTGTTTTTTTGTCTTTTATTCGTATATATTTCTCAATAACTCAGAATTAATGCATAAACTTACATTTAACCCTATCCCTAACCTTAACCACTCAGAGTTAATCCATAAACTTCTGTTTAACCCTATCCCTAACCTTAACCACTCAGAAATAATCCATAAACTTAAATGTAACCCTATCCCTAACCTTAACCACTCAGAATTAATCCATAAACTTAAGTTTAACCCTATCCCTAATCTTAACCACTCAGAATTAATCCATAAACTTAAGTTTAACCCTATCCCTAACCTTAACCACTCAGAGTTAATCCATAAACTTATGTTTAACCCTATCCCTAACCTTAACCACTCAGAATTAATCCCTAAACTTAAGTTTTAGTTTCACTTTTGCAGAGTTTGACTGACAGCTAAGATTCGGCAACACATGGCATAACTTAAACTTAAAAGCCATGGCGTAATTCTGTTACTGCAGTTAAGCCACGGGTTAGCGTTTTATTTGGAGATTCGGTTGATTACTGTACATGCACGTGTATATTCAATCACACACACACACACACACACACACACACACACACACACACACACACACACACACACACACATCCCTTCCTCCTCATTACATTGTCCAGAGGTAATGACCTGTACTAATGCCTCGTTAGAAACACACCATGTTAATGAGTGAACATTATCTCACATAATCATTAGTTCACACACAAACACACACACACACACGCGTACATACCCTAGATGGGTAAACCTGGATTTCAACACACATTGCTAAAAGTTCAAGCATATGCAGTTGAACATGTGAACGTTGGTTTGGTGTATGTAGCTTGAACGGTTCAAGAGTTACTGTTGGTGAGTTACTCTATGCTAATTTATGCACATTTGATAAGTTATAGTTGATTTCAAAAAATAAATAATTTGAATTTCAGATAGCCTGAACATGTGAAAGTTGTTTTGGTGTCTCTAGCTTGAAGGGTTTGTTACGTTCCCCAACAAGAACATTTCAGGTGGGGTTCTGAAAGACACTCATGGGCGGCCCAGCGTCGTCCGGGTTTGGCCGGTGTAGGCCGTCATTGTAAATAAGAATTTGTTCTTAACTGACTTGCCTAGTTAAATAAAGTTTTTTTTTTAAATGGGGGTGTCCACTGAATGTTGCCTAGCAACAAGAAAGTGGGATCTAAAAGACACCAACCACTAAATTTACCCCAGACAGGGCAAACAAAAACAAAAACCCAACTTATAATTAAAAATAGGTGGAGCAAACCAAACCAAACCTGGGGAGATACAAGACAGAGGTTTTGTTTATCAACTTTTTAAAAAAAAAGCAGAGCCACAAAGAGGTGCAGCTCTTCCAACATCTCTCATTAGATGTGTTATTGTTTTTACCATCGAGGACCACTTTGGAAACAAGCGTTTTAATTAATACTTTCAAGTGATATCCTCTGGGTTCACGTTGTACATTCTGTTGACAACTGGAGCGCTGGGCCAGCCGCTCTTAAATATCACCTGGGCCAGCTCAGGTGAAACACCTTCTGACTAACGAGATGACAAGCCAGCACAGGTGTAACACCTACGGACTAAAAAGGGGGGACACCAATCAGTGCGCCCAACGTGCTAATGTCCAACCTCGAAATATCAATGGAAAAACCAAAGCACGTAACAGGTTCAAGAGTTAATGTTAGTGAGTTATTTTATGCTAATGTATGCAAATGAATATAGTTATGTTTACATATATATACATTAAAATACAAAAACACAGTGATGGTAAGCACAAATAACACATCACAGATCACCCAGAAAAACAGTTACATTCGTCCACAAATAAGTCCCCCATCAGTACTTTCAATTGCCCGAACGGCAGCAGAACATTGAGATGAATGTTATTTTGAATTTTGTCCAGCAATACGGTGCATTAAAACTAAAAGCAGATTTACCTCCTCGGTGGAGACCCTAGGAACCTCTAGAGTTAACCAATCCTGTGAACAGGTTAGGCAACTCAGGTGTCTATACTTCAAGAGCAAAGTTAGATAAGATGGAAGTTTGTGAATTAAGGCCCCAAAAAGGGAGTAATGTAGAGATCTACGGGTCTTTAGCCAAGTCCAGCCAACCTTTTGTTACAGGATGCAGTGATGTGTATCCTGTCTGGTATTGCGCCCCCCTCTGGCTCGTGCGGAGGGGGAGATCTTCATGGGCTATACTCCGCCTTGTCTCAGGGTAGTAGGTTGGTGGGCTATACTCCGCCTTGTCTCAGGGTAGTAGGTTGGCAGTCTGTTTATTTCCCTCTGGTGGTGTGGGGTGCTGCAAAAGTCTATGTGCCGGGGACTAGGGTCAGTCTGTCCTATCTGGTGTATTTCTCCTGTCTTATCTGGTGTCCTGTGTGAGCTTAAGTATGCTCCCTCTAATTCTCCCAGCTCTCTCTCGCTCTCTCTCTCTCTCTCCCCTCCCGGACGACCTGATTCCTAGGATCATGCCTCAGGACTACTGCTGTTTCTGCTGTTCTGCCTGCGGCTATGGAACCCTGACCTGTTCACCGGACCTGCTACCTTGTCCCAGACATGTTGTTTCAACCCTCTCTATCCCTCTGAATGCTTGGCTATGAAAAGCCAAAAGACATTTACTCCTGAGGTGCTGACCACTGTGATTATTATTTGACCCTGCTGGTCATTTATGAACGTTTGAACATCTTGGAAACAATCTGGCCTTCATGGCCATGTACTCTTATAATATCCACTGGGCACAGCCAGAAGAGGACTGGCCACCCCTCAGATCCTGGTTTCTCTCTAGGTTTCTTCCTAGGTTCTTGCCTTTCTAGGGAGTTTTTCCTAGCCATTGTGCTTCTACATCTGCATTGCTTGCTTTTGGGAGTTTTAGGCTGGGTTTCTATACAGAAATCTACAGATGTAAAAAGGGCTTTATAAATACATTTGATTTGATATGTGGATTTGATATGGCGGTTGACAACCAACTTTAAGGTACATTATTGCCACCAACTGGATTGGAGTGTGGACCGCATTCATCTTTCAATCACCCGCATGGGTGCTCGTAAAAACCAATGAGCGAGTCAAGCGTCTAAAAATAGAAGCACGTTTTATTTTAGTGTCTGGGTACACAGACACCTGTTAATGCATTGGAGCAGTTTTGGATGAAATGATTGAATAACATGTATGTGTATTTATTTTTTTGCAAATCCTCGCGCATGCAGCGCGGCCTGTTCAGTTAGCATGTTATAAACCATTTAGTAATCATTAGTTAAGTCATTTTGTGTGGCCTCATCTAATGTGTGGGCTATTTATACTTTATAAAGCTATTCAATTGGGAGTTCCGGGTTTGCAAAGTCTCCACCCTCGCAAAAAGGAGGAAACTCTCAGCCACTTTTGAATGGAGTAATGATTAATAAATGATAAATAAACTATTTGCTAATCAATAAATGCTTTATTAAGTGGAGTTATTATAAAGTGCTGCCTTTATATTTTTTGGTACCAGTCTAGGGCCATTATTTATTTATTTTTGCCATTGAAATGCATTGGTATCCATAGCAACGGCTCCGTTTTGGGCTGCTCAATGACGAGAAATGAAGAGAGCTGTTAGCTAAGCTACTTTTCGTCACTAAAACCATTTGCGTGGTTAGCTGTGATTAGGGAGCAGGAACACTTAGTTGGGTGTTAGCACCAGAGTGGGAACGTTCATTTTTGTCCTTTTCGACCTTTCAGCGGTAAAAGGGGCAGGAGTCAGAATTGGGACAGGTGAAAAAAAAGGTAAAGCATGGTAGACCCGTGAGGTGGAACAGGTTGTGCGGGGGGTTTGCCTGCTGTGGACTGGATAGCAGCAATCTCAGTTTTGTGATATCTACAGACTCTGGTGATGCAGTTGTTCCGTGGGTTTAAGGTTGGCGTTTGCTTGGAGTTAGGTGAGGAGTTGATTGTGCTACAGTGGAAATCTCAGCTGCCATGGGCAATCCATTCATTTCTGTGCTGCCACCGACATCAGCCTGCATAGCATACTATCGATAAATAGAAAAGTGTAAAACACAACTGGATCCATCCTATCCAGAGTCCCACACTATTATGTATTCTTAGGGGCAGGAGTCAGAATTGGGACAGGTGGGCGGCTACA